GTGTCGTAAATGACTCCTTACTTAAATATCGAAATGCTATTCTCAGGTTTGCCAGGCGCCCGTATGCTGCAGCAGTTGTGCGTCTCAGATGTGCTCGGTATGATGCTCACCCCAAGATCCTTTTCCTCGAGTGAGTTTTGCAGCCTGTGTGTGTGTGTGTATGTGTGTGTGTGTGTGTGTGTGTGTGTGTGTGTGTGTGTGTTGTGTGTGTGTGTGTGTGTGTGTGTGTGTCCGTGGTTGTGTGCGTGCGTGCGTACCCAGCTGCAGAAAATGTTTATGCTTGTGGTGTCCCGTCTACAGTCATAAATTTCATAAACACATTTTTTAACATGGTCAACGCTTTTGGAAGAGATATTTCATAATATTCCCTCTACATTGGTACTGGGTGTTTTATGGGCGTGGTTGTGGGTGTGGGCGTGGTTGTGGGTTGTGGGCATGCTGGTGGGTGTGGCGTGCTGGTGAGTGTGGGCATGCTGGTGGGTGTGGGCGTGGCTGGTGGGTGTGGGCGTGGTTGTGGGTGTGGCGTGCTGGTGGGTGTGGGCGTGTTGTTGGGTGTGGGCGTGCTGGTGGGTGTGGCGTGGTGAGTGTGGGCGTGCTGGTGGTGTGGCGTGCTGGTGGGTGTGGGCATGCTGGTGGGTGTGGGCGTGCTGGTGGGTGTGGGCGTGCTGGTGGGTGTGGGCGTGCTGGTGGGTGTGGGCGTGCTGGTGGGTGTGGGCGTGCTGGTGGGTGTGGGCGTGCTGGTGGGGTGTGGGCGTGCTGGGGTGTGTGGGCATGCTGGTGGTGTGGGCATGCTGGTGAGTGTGGGCGTGCTGGTTGGTGTGGCGTGCTGGTGGGTGTGGGCGTGCTGGTGGGTGTGGGCGTGCTGGTGGGTGTGGGCGTGCTGGTGTGTGTGGGCGTGCTGGTGGGCGTGGGCGTGCTGGTGGGTGTGGGCGTGCTGGTGGTGTGGGCGTGCTGGTGGGTGTGGGCGTGCTGTGGGCGTGGGCGTGCTGGTGGGCGTGGGCGTGCTGGTGGGTGTGGGCGTGCTGGTGGGTGTGGGCGTGCTGGTTGTGTGGGCGTGCTGGTGGGTGTGTGGCGTGCTGGTGGGTGTGGGCGTGCTGGTGGGTGTGGGCGTGCTGGTGGGTGTGGGCGTGCTGGTGGGTGTGGGCGTGCTGGTTGGTGTGGGCGTGCTGGTGGGTGTGGGCGTGCTGGTGGGTGTGGGCGTGCTGGTGGGTGTGGGCGTGCTGGTTGGTGTGGGCGTGCTGGTGGGTGGGGCGTGCTGGTGGGTGTGGGCGTGCTGGTGGTTGTGGGCGTGCTGGTGGGTGTGGACGTGCTGGTGGGTGTGGGCGTGCTGGTTGGTGTGGGCGTGCTGGTGGTTGTGGGCGTGCTGGTGGGTGTGGGCGTGCTGGTGGGTGTGGGCGTGCTGGTTGGTGTGGGCGTGCTGGTGGGTGTGGGCGTGCTGGTGGGTGTGGGCGTGCTGGTGTTGTGGGCGTGCTGGTGGGTGTGGGCGTGCTGGTGGGTGTGGGCGTGCTGGTTGTGTGTGGGCGTGCTGGTGGGTGTGGGCGTGCTGGTGGGTGTGGGCGTGCTGGTGGGTGTGGGCGTGCTGGTGGGTGTGGGCGTGCTGGTGGTTGTGGGCGTTGCTGGTGGGTGGGGCGTGCTGGTGGGTGTGGGCGTGCTGGTTGGTGTGGGCGTGCTGGTGGGTGTGGGCGTGCTGGTTGGTGTGGCGTGCTGGTGGGTGTGGGCGTGCTGGTGGGTGTGGGCATGCTGGTGGTTGTGGGCGTGCTGGTGGGTGTGGGCGTGCTGGTGGACTAGTAACCTGTGACTGACCAACCGGTTGCTTGAGGACAAGTGACCACTCACTGACTAATATAAACACCCGCACGACACAAAAGAAA